ATGCACTTCATAGCATTTTTGCCCTCGAACCTGTGTATACAGGTGTATGTACGTGCACACACACTAAATAAAAATGTAATTTAAAAAATTAATGTTGAAAGAAATTCAAGACAACTAAGTAAATGAGAGGCACTTGCTGTTGGTAGAAAGAACTTGGAGGACCCTCATAGCAATTCAAGTGGAAGCTCTTCAGCAGGTAATGCCTATACAACTGGTTGTCCACACACAGAAACTGAATTTGGACCCACAGTTCACAGGTAGAGTTCCTAGAAAAGCAGGCAACAGAACACAACCTTGGATTAAGAAATTTCTTAGATTTGACATCTAAAGCAGCACAAGCAGTAACTTATAATAATGATGGTTAATATGCCATACAACAGATCTGAAATAAAGGAGGTTTGTTGTGGAAAAGGGAGGTGAGGAGGAGAAAGCAGGGCAGTGAGGACACCTATGACAGAGAAAGAGACAGAGAGAAACAGAGAGACCAAGAGACAGCAAGACTAAGAGAGGCTGGGGGATTCTTTTTATCGGGCACACACCTGGCGGTGGCGGCAAGTGATAACATCTGAGGTTGCTAAGCCCCCAGAAGGCATGCTAGTGGGACCACCTATAAGCTGACAGTAGCTAAAAACATAACCTGGATCTCTCACAAAATCACAAACACTGGGTCCTGAAATGGTGGCACATAAGAGCCATGTGTCTGTGTGTCTGTCTGTGTGTTTGTGTCTGCTGGTTGCTGCAAGAGTTCCAAGCCAGCTGGGGACTTAAAAACTTAACTGTGCAATGGTGGCACATGCCTTTAATCCCAGCAGAGGCAGAGACAGGCAAATCTGAGTTCAAGGCCATCTTGGTTACACAGTGAGTTCCAGGACAGCCAGGACTACACAGAAAAACCCTGTCTCAAAATACAAAAAACAAAAGAAACTTTTTATGCCTCAAACAATGACCACATAACATATGCTTTTGGGTTTAATTCGTAGGACTGGGGAAAGGAGAGAGATGGGAGAGAGAACCACCAAAGGGTAAACTATATAAGAAGAAGAAAAATTACAAATCATTTTAGTGTGTTATATAAAAAAATAATACTGGAGATTTCAGTTAGTGGTACAGTACTTGCCTAACATACGCATAGGTAAGACAGTGGGCTCCATCCTCACTCAGCTCTGTGTGCATTTGTGTGTGTGTGTGTGTGTGTGTGTGTGTGTGTGTGTGTGGAGAGAGAGAGAGAGAGGATTAAAATACAGTAAAAAGTCAGATCTGGATGCCTTTCTTCAAAGGTGATGTGTAATGGAAAAGACAATGAGCACAGTAAGCACTTGAGCAAGGGGGCCTAATTAGCAAGTTGTTCCTCAGGCAGTTAGTGTGTGACTTAGCATGCTCCAGGAGAATGGCTGTCAACACCATAACCTGTACATGGATCTAGATCTTAAATCGGTGTCAGCTGATGAAGAGATTAACAGGTGTGACACACACATTGCCACATCTCTCCTGACCATGGACGTGGGTTTCAGAATGACGGACCTCCAGGTGCTTGACACTGCAGGAAGCAAGAGGCCCTCTCTGCTGTCCTCTGTCCTTCGATGTGATGCACTTTATTTCTAAGTTGGAGCAGCAATAGGAACTGATGATACAATAATTGAAACTATGCTGTTGTAATGCAAGTTATTTGAAACTTAAAAAATCTTTAAGATTTTCCACTTAGCACTTTGAAAACATAGCAAAACCTCAGAAAAGGAGGGACTACTATCCTGCAATTTATCTGAATATAAGCATAACAATACATTAGATTGTTGTGTGGCCGTAGTTAGAAGACATGGTCTACATTGCATGATAATGAGCAGATCATGAATTTCCAAACAGGTTAGAAAGCATCAGGCTGGAGTGGCTAGAAAAGAATCTGCTATGACCGCAATTTCCATGCAGTGTGATGGAACTGAATGGTGGGGAGGTAAGTGTAGATGAGACCATGATGGGTTGCACTCCAGTGATAAGACTAGCATCTTCATAAGGAGGGATGACTGCAAGCTTCTTTCTCTCCCGAAGTCCCCTCCTGTCAGCCCGCCCATCACTAGAAACCTTCAGACAGTCTGGTATTGTATCATGGGAACACCTGAGAGGACCCTGGAGGAGCACAGGATCAACCTTGGCTCTGTGAATTGAGTGTAACAGCTTCAGCTGCACAGAGCATGGCTGAACACAGCCCGAGGGTTTTGTGTTTATTGCTGTTTTTGTTGTGTTCCTAACCGTCCGCAGACTCACTGTAACCCATGCTGGGTGCAGGGATGACAAACAGGTTCCATGCTAGCTACTCTCAAACCCTAAGTCAAACTCAAGTCTTCTGCAAGCTAGAATGTCTTCCTTCTTGCTCATAATTCAGATGCCTATCTGAGTTATTACTGCAGCTTTTTTTTATCCCCCAGGGGATGAAGCTATTTTACTGTACCCTGTCCTATTTTTGTTGTTTGTTGTTCTTGTCTTTTGGTTTACTTGGTGCTTCCCCCATCCCCTGCAAGACAGGGTTTCTCCATATAAAAGTTCTGGCTGTCCTAGAACTCACTCTGTAGACCAGACTGACCTTGAACTCACAAAGATCCACCTGCCTCCACCTTCCAGGCGCAGGGATTAAAAGTGCATGCCACCGCCTCACTCTGCTTGGTTTATGGGCCTTTTAAGACAAGGTCTCACTCTAGCCCAGACGGGTCTGAAACTTACTGTGTATCCCAGGTTGACCACATTGTACAGCCCTCCCCCCATTTTTACAGACAGTGAACTCGCCATAATGACTGACTGATCTACCAATTTCATTTATTTGTAGCTGTACCCCAGGTGGGATGGGCAGATCCTATAAAACTGCTGTTTTAATTTTTTGAGGAATATCCATCTCATCTTCCCCAATGCCTGTACACTGTGAGCTAGAGCAGCAGCACATCCCTTTTCTTATCCTGGCCAGCACTTACCTCTTATGATTTTGATAATAAACATTTGCCAGGTTTGAGGTTCCTGCAGTTTTGATTTGTGTTTCTCTAAAGATTTGGTGGTGTTATGCACCTTTTAATGCACCTGTTGGCAAGTTGAGTTGGGAGCTTCTGATGTGCATTTCTCTCTCCTCCTTCTCCTCCTCTTCTTTTTCTTCTTTTCCTTTTTTAGCAGGGAACATTGAGGTAGGATCTCATGCTGAAGTCCAGGCTGGCCTGGAACGCTTAACAGTTCCCCCCTGCCTCAGTTTCAAGTGCAGAACTTGTAAGCACTATACCTATAAGACAACTTGCAGCCAGCAGGCTTTCCTGATTCTTGTACTCTAGTTGACAAAAACCTCAGGTGACTCTGACCGTAAATTGCGCGTTTTATTTATTTAGTGTGTGTGTATGATGAGATCATACTTGCCATAGTGTGTGCAGAGGTCAGAGGACAACTTCTGGGGCTGGAGGGATGGCTCAATGTTTTAAGAGCACTAGAAGATCTTCAAGAGGATTTGGGTTCTGTTCCCAGCACCCATATGGTTGCTCATAATATCAGTAACTACAGTTCCAGGGGATTCAGTACCTTTTAGCTTCTCAGTACATTAGGTAAACACACAGGTAAAACGCTCATGTATAAATTAGGAATAAATAAATCTTGTTTTCAAAAAAGATAAACTTTGGAGGCCACTCGTCTCTTTTCCACCATGTGAGACCCTGGATTGAACTCAGATGGCCAGGCTTGGCAGCAAGTGCCTCTAGCTGCTAAGCCATCCTTCAGGTCCACATTTGAGGGAATATGGTGACCATCTTTCTAGGGAGGAGGCTAGCCGCCAAGCTTCTTTCAGCAGTGTGTAGACCAGGCTGGAATTACAGGCATGCGCCACCATCTGGCCATTGGTTAACCTTTAATAGAAAGGTGGAGATCTACTTTTTCACATACTTGTTTGTGTTTGGTTGTTCTTTAAGAAATTTGTCTTGCATGTCATGGTCACGCATGACTGTAATTCCTGTACCAGGGAAGGCAGGCAGACAGATCTCTATAAATTCAAGGCCAGCCTGATCTACAAAGCAAGTCCAGGATAGCCAAGGTTACACAGAGAAACCCTGTCCCCCAAAAACAAAAAAACAAAAAAACCTGTTGTGATGGAGGCTGGAGAGATGGCTCAGCAGTTGAAAGTTCTGGCGGCTTTTCTAGAGGGCCTTGGTTCAATTTCCAGCACCCATAGGGCAGCTCACAACTTGACTGTAACTCCAGTCCCAGGAAGTCCAACACCTTCACACAGACATACATGGAGGCAAAATACCAGCATAGATAAAATAATAATAAATAAATCATTAACAAAAACTTTTTGGGAGTTAATTTGTTGGTCTAGTCAATAAGTGGCTGAAACAAGATTTAAATCCAACCCAGGTTAAATTTCTTTAGAAGGAGGATGATGAGAAAGAAAAAATAAATTTTTTCTTTTGAATATTGAGGTGTTAGGCTATCTGTCGTTAAAAAAAAATAGGACAGAGCTGCCATACATAGAGCATGAAGTCTGTAGACAGGCACAGACGTAGCAGGCATCCTGAAAAAAGTCGATGGATTGAATGATGTAAAAAGAATGGGTGAAGGGAGGGAGATGGCTTCCTGGAGGAAGTGGCATTGGAGCTGAGTGTTGAGGAACCAACAAGAGTTTCCCAGGGGAATAAGGTAGACTCTTCTCTTGACCAAGTTGACCCCTTTAAGGTGGTTAATTAGGTAGCATTTGAAAGAATTTCTTGGTGACAGACAGCTGGTCTTTATCTATCGACCATTCTTTCTACCTGCATCTTGCTGGCAGAGTCCTCTTTGCTCTGAGACACCCCATGGCTTTGTCTGCTCTCAGAACAGAAGTTCCAACACTGACCTCCACCTGGTAGGTCCAGCTTGGTCACAGCGCTCTCCTCAGAATAGATCAGTGGCCTCTGAAGAGGACTGAGCCACACGGGTAGCCAGCCTGAGTAGCCGTTGTGTCGGTGCCTTAATTTATTTGAAACTCCTTCAACCCTATTTTTCAGGAACACGAATCATTTATGACCGAAAGTTTCTGTTGGACCGTCGCAATTCTCCCATGGCACAGACCCCACCTTGCCATTTGCCCAATATCCCTGGAGTCACCAGTCCTGGCACCTTAATTGAAGACTCAAAAGTAGAAGTGAACAACTTGAACAACCTGAACAATCATGACAGGAAGCACACAGTTGGTGAGGGGCGGCCTGTGGAATGAGGGGCTCCAGGGTTTTCTGTAGAGTGGGAAATGTTGCTTCATCAAAGCACAACTGATGTTTGGTGTATGTCTGATTGTTTCTCCCTCTAACGTCTAAAATGCTTTCAGTTTCCATCTAACTGTATGGGGAAAAACAGTCAAGTCGCGATGGAAGGCAAGTGTGGTAGTAGTACATGCCTTCAGTCCCAGCGCTCAGGAGGCAGAGATAGGCAGATTTTCATGAGTTGAGGCCAGCCAGGGCTACATAGGTAGATACTGCCTTAAGGGGAAAAAAAATTTAGGATGGTAACCCAAAGCCTGCCTGTCAGCGGCTTTATTTTCTAGGCCTTCCCCTTACATAGACATGATTGCACACATGCTGCTCCTTCGACCTCCATGATGAGCAAGTGTGCACACGCACACATGCACCCAGAAAAGAATCTTAGGCCTCCTTTCTCCACCAACCCAGATAATAAACGTGACCAGGTGGTGGTAGCTCTCACCTGTAATTTTAGGTGGATCTGTGAGTTTGAGGGCAGCCTGGTCTATTGAGCAAACTCCAGGACAACCAGGGCTACACAGAGAAGCCGTGTCTCCACAAAACAAAAAAAGAAAGAAAAAGAAAAAACAAAACAGATCCGATATCCAGAGTGACTTTATTAGGGGTCTGCCCTGCACCTTTGTAGTGGGATGAGGTGAGGTGGTGTCTGCACTCACCTCAGACTTTGTGCTTCATGTTCTCTGCAGCTCCAGATGAGGTGTTTGGTGGTTGGTTGTGGGTTTTTGTTGTTGTTGTTGTTTGTTTGTTTTTGAGACAGGTCTCACTCTTAGCCTAGGCTACAGAGAACTCACCATGAAGCCTAGATTGGCCTCACTCAGACTTGTAGCCATTTTCCTGCCTCAGCTTCCCCAGTACCTGCACTACAGTATAAGCTGCGATCCCTGCTGCAAGTGTCAGTTTAGAGCAGAGCTGAGATCAAAGCCTCCAGAGAGTGTGCTCATTTGATAGCAACCAGGAGCTGCAGTGTATTGGTTTGTGGAAAAGCAACTGGAAATACCCCCTTGTATCTTTCTTGGTGTGACCACTTTGCTCTCCACACCCACCCAGGTGAAATAGATCACCCAAAATAAAATAAATCAGTTTCGGTGCTGAGACAGGGTCTTGCTATATACCCCAGGCTCACCTCAAATTTAGTATTGAATCTGAGTGCTAGTATTGCATTCAGGAGTAGATGTCATGAGGCCACAGAGTGAGACAGTTAGTATTAGTTTTGCCCTTCCAGGTAGAGAAAGATATTAGAAACAACTTTGCCATTTCCTTTTGTACTAAACTTCTCATTTCTTTCCTTCTAACCAGGGGATGAGGCTCAGTTTGAAATGGACATCTGACTCTGCTGCAGTGTTGAAGGAGGCCACACGCATCGGCCTGTGTGTGCCTGACTGGGCCAATAGGAACAGTGAACAAAGACTCTCCAGCTCTCCCTCCCCTCCCTCTGGTGCCAAATGATGGGAGATGCGTTCCATCAGACCACATCTTCCCCTGTTTCCTGCCCTCTGCCCAGTTAAGGTTAGGTTGAAAGCCCTTGGATTATTCTGTGGACCTGACCAGAGGAAAACAGGCCCTGTAGCTTCCATGGTCATTTCCCAAGAATCTTTCTATCCCCTTCAGATTTGCCCCAAGTCTAGGAGATTCCTTGGGCAACACCTCTGCCTGGGGTGGCTAGGAGGAAAGGAGGTTTAGTGCCCACTGCTGTCCTGTGCTCTCTTCTGCCTTCCCTCCCTGCATCCTGCCGGTGATTTGAGTGCTTGGGGGGAGGGGAAGTTTTTAAACCGCCTGGTGGAAGTGATAAAACAGAATGAGCTGCTTGCCCTATCCCTGGAGATGTTTGTCTCTGCACTGGAGCACAGCTTCTGTACCTCCGGCACCTCCAGCTGCATTCCTGGGACATGTGACATCAGCCTCCTTTTCCTCTGGGAGGAAGGCTTCTGTCATGGATGTGATAGCTCGTCTCCCCATTCCTTTACCAATTCATTGGCATGGGTTTGTTTTTTGTTTTTTTGAGACAGGGTTTCTCTGTCCTAGCTGGCCTCAAACTCATAGAGATCTACCTGCCTCTGCCTCCTGAGTGCTGGGATTAAAGGCATGTGCCATTATTCCCGGTGGCACAGGTATTTTTTTTTTTTTTTAAGCCCTATTCCTGAAGGGACCCTTTGTGACAGCTGGTCTTTGCCTATCTGCTATTCTTTCTACCTGCATATTGCTGGCAGAGTCCTCTTCACTCTGAGACAGCCTATGGCTTTCTTCTCAGAGCAGAAGTGCCAACCTTTGCCTGGTGGCTACAGTTTGGTCATAGTGATCTGCCTGGGAATATATCAGTACTTTTGAAGAGGACTGAGCCACACAAGTAGTCATGGTTTTAAAACCCGGTGGATCTTAGTAGGTTTGGTGTCCTGCAGGTTATTATATTTTGAATTAAAGTTCACTTCCCCTTATATTCCTCCCACACTTGGAATTTGCTTTGTGCTTGGCTGCTGAGAGAGAAGCATGGGCTGAAAAATGCATTCCTCCCAGGTTTCTTGCCCTTCTCATTATACATTCTCATCGTTCATCTGTCCTTCTGTCCTTCCCTTCTTCCCTTTTTCCTTCATCTCTTTCCTTCTGGTTCTTCCACCAGGCCATTTTTTAAATCTACATCAAAGATACCTCACATGTTTGGTATCTTATAATATCCGTCACTCCTTATCAGAGGAGAGACCTTTTATTTTTAAGATGACTACAGACCTATTTTTAGATAAGCTTTCAGTACAATTTTGAACTGCAACTTTTTTAACGAAACATCTTCCAGTATTGGGAAGGTTATTAAAATGTTTCTAGGCAAGTCTGTCCTTTGTCTTTCATAGTTCCTCTGAGCGCTTTCCTGTGCCCTCAAGTTTTGAGGGCTATTTGGAGTTGTAGAGTGGCTATTTTGTGAAACTGGACCAGTCTGCCTTGCTGTGAGTTGTTGAAGAAAGCTTCCTTCCTTTCCTTTACTCCTCTGCTCTCTTGCTCTTCCTCCTCCCCATCCCCTCTCCTAATACTGTGGGCTGACATGGAGATCACAGGAGATCCATCCTCCTTAAGGAGACAGTAAAGCAACCACTGGTTTCCTGGGAGTTTCTGGTTACTAAGCCCTCTTAGTAACATTTTAGATCCCCATTGTCTGGGAAAGAAAGCGGCTTGCTTTTCTTTTGAACCATGGAAAGACTCTAATTTGGAAAAAGAAAGGACATCTTCAAATCTTGGTTCTGTTTTTTTTTTGTTTTGTTTTTTGGTTTTGTTTTTTGTTTTTTGTTTTTTTTTTGGTTTTGTTTTGCTACACAATGTGAATAGCTCAGAGTGCAACCCTCTGTGACGGTCACTGTCTCAGGAATAAGCGGGGTCTCCAATGCTTGGGGATTTTTGGAGTCTCCATGGTGATAATCAGAAGAGTTTTGTTTCTCTGTTAAATGTATCTGTTGTGTTTTTAATTAAACTCCCAAATTTCATTTAATATGGAGTCTTGGAAAGACGTAAGTTGTGCTGTAATTGGTATAAGAAGCTTGCTCAGGACCTCTTGTACTCTGGAGCTTGATTGTTTGGGAGCAAGGCTCACAATTCTTCACACACTGGTGGTACCCCATGGGAAAAGGACATCTGCTTCCTCACTGAACGACTGTCTGCCGCTGAGTGGCTTCCTCCTGGACCCACAACTGGGAATGGATTTGAGTCATGGGAGTTGGGATCCAGAAACTGTTTCCCTTTTCTTACCGTCTTCTGGGGTCTGTCTGCATCTGCACCTCCTCTCCAGTCAGCACACGTTTCTAGTTTTCTTTAGACTGTCACCTTCATGGTGTAGAGCTTTCTAGCCTTGTGTCCTCTGCCAGCACCCCTTGCTGCTGGGTATGGGCCTTATCTGAAGGCTGCCATTAACCATTCTTTGACCTCTATAAATCAGCATTGTAAGGTAATTGCACAAGACAAGCTTTCAACAGGCAGCATCTTTGCACAGGAGCCAATTTCTAGTAAGCAGAGTCCAGTGCAGGGTTCACCTCTGGGTGTTCAGAGAGCCTCACAGTAGAGGTCTGTGATGCCCTAATCTGCCAGGCTCCCACCTGAGTGAGACAACTTTTAAAATCTTAGTGACCCTCTGTGCTATTTCTCTGAAGGTTAAGTTTCTGCACTTGTGGGGACAATCAGCCATCATGAGGAAGAACCTCCCTCCAGCCCCAGCAGGAGACACAGTTCCCAGTAATATTCTTCCTTCTTAGTTCTACTGAAATAGGTGCTGCTTCTCCAGGGCACAGGAATGGGAAAGCTGGCAAGAGTTCTGTACTTCTACATATTACGAGTTATCTATTGCTGTGTAACAAATTACCTGCAAGCTTAGAGTCTTCTCCATAGGGTCTTGGGGGTTGCTTAGCACGGAGGTTTTAGCATAGGGTCTCATGATGATGCAGGTAGGGTATAGGTCGGGGCTGCTCTCATCTGGAGCTTTAGAATCCCCCATTTTTTTGTGGCTATCAATGGGATGCCTTTTTTGGTCACTCCCCATATGGATTTCTGTGGGATAAGAGCACCTGACTTCCTCCTGAATGACTGATCGCAAAGAAAGGTGGGTAAGAAGGAAGTTGCAGTGCCTTTAAACCACCACATCCTACCAGGAGAAAAATAGGTGATGAGGAAGGTGGAGATAGTTACAGCCATAAGCTGGGTGCACATTGCTATCAAAACAGCCCTCTGTGGTGAGACCAAACTGGGATAGAAGACAGACTTCTCTTTCCCCAAAGCATATCTTAAGACAGGTGGCAGGAAATGAAGATTCCCAGATCTGTTGTGACCTCTTCTGCCTATCTTCTCAAGAATGCTTGCTTTGCAAGTCTCTGAAGTGTCCTCTTTAAGTGTCACTTACGACTTCTGTTGTCCTTGAGCCAAGAATTGACAAAAGGAATTGGGGTGTTTGTATGGAGCCATACAAACTTTCTTAACTGGAGTAAGACTTGTCAGACAGGTCAAAGGATGTTGGATTTCATATATTTGAGCTGCAGAACAAGAAGCAGTTCTGGTTCTGGGAGATGGTATGGAAGCCAGGTACCACCTGAGTCAGTGGTCAAGATCTCCACCAGAAGCAGCTTGTCCATAAGCCAGCAACTCCTGAGAAGGCAAGTGTCTCTGTATACTTGAATACCAGGTCAGTGCAGCATGCAGGCTAGCCCATTGCCTTCTGGTTGCCTAAAAAGAACCAGTCTTTGGTTTCACCCATAAGGGAAGCTTAAGAGGTAGCTTGTCAGCGCCTCAGACCTCACGGAATGTCTGCTTGTTCCTGCTAGCCATTCTCACCATTCTTAGATGGAGGCTCTTGTTTGGATTCGTGCTCTGTCCTTTACCATTTGCTTCTCTGTAGTCATACCTGCTTTAGCATGTGCTTGAGGTACTAGTGAATTATATAGGCTTCTTTCTAATCTGCAGAGGGGCAGGGAATAGGGGTACTGTCTTTGGGCTTCTCAGCCTTCTCAGTTCCATTGGGCTCCAGTGAAAGTCCAGAAAGGCTCAGGTGTTGGCTGCCATGTATCAGCGATGGAAGCTCCTTCCTATCTCCATCTTGAGTGCTGGCTACTTGATGGGGGTCTGGTATAACCCTCTTCACTCCCTTTAGAGGGAAGGCACCACTGTCTTCATGTAATCCAAGTTCTTTGGTGAGTTTCTTGGACTCCGTGCCCATGGCAGCTATTTATTAATCTGCGAAACTCAATCACCAGCCCATCCTTCCCATGGGAAGGTGGGATTTGTAGTGGAGGAACACCATTTCTTAGGGGTAGAAGTTCTGTCTGAGTAGGGCATGGTTGCCCCTAGCCTTCAGCTATTTTTTTTTCCCCTTGGTTCCTGCAGTTGAGTCAGTCCTTCAGTGCTTCCCATCCAGGTGTGCTTCCTGCTCTGGCAATGGGTTTCGTGAGTGGTGGACATTATTGAGGCTAGCTCACAGACACTTGACTGAAGACTGTAAGGATGGCTGACAGGTCCTCATTTTTCCAGATGACCAATCAAGATACCTTTTCTACTCTGAAGCTGTAGCTTTCCTTTAGGCAGTTCCTAGAAACTGGTGCCTGTTGGCAGAACTCAATTTTTGAAGTCTTCGGGTGGTCCCTGGTTTTTCTCTGCTTGCTCAGCACTTCCTGCAACCCTAGTAGGCCATACTGTGTGCCCAGTAGAAAAAGGCTACTGAGCTGAAACATTTCCCAGGGGATGCAAACTCCTGTTCACTTTTCTGAGGTGGAAGGGTTGAGACTAGATGTCTGGTAGATATTTGGCTGTGCTGATATTTCCAAAGGGAGCTCCTGCCAGGGCTCCAGACCCAATTTTCTGGGCATTGCAAACTTAGAAAATTCCATGAATCTAGCACAGACTGCCCATTCTTGCCTCTAAACCCTCTTTCCTTTCCATTTTCAGTCTTTTAAAAACTGCCCAACCCTGGCCTAGGGGCTATGACTGGAGAGCAGGACAATGGGGCCACCAGCAGGAGGCAGGGGCCATCGGGACCACACTGGCTCATGCCAATGCCTTTACCCCACTTACTGGCACCCAGGCCAGCTCCAGTAAGCCTTAAAGAAGGCAACTTGAAATGCCCCAAGGACTCCAATCCCCAGTTGTCCATTTTAAGAATCTTTTTATGCGTTTCCTATATGCGCTTACCTGTTTACTGCTGCAGTCCTAACCATGTGGAACAGGGTTTCAGAGGCTGCCAGTGCTTTCCTTGGTCCTCCCCTTTGTTTCCCTGGTGTGCTGTCCCCTCACTTCCTTTCATTCACTGTCAGCAATGCTGTGTGATTCTATGACCAGTTTGTTTTCTTAATGTCCTTCCAAACTAGCAGGTGTTTGGAACTAAGGAAAAAAATCCTCACCGACGGTTGCTGTTACAGTTAAATAAAGACCTTGAATATTGACTTGGTGGTGTTTTGTGGTGCTGGGCATTGAACCCTGCATCTCACATATGCTAAGGGCAAACTTCACCGTGGAGATAGCCTGACCTGGTATGTTATTGGGTTTTGTTTTGGGAACCGGCTCTCGATGTGTAGCCCTTGGCTGCCCTAGAACTTGTTATGTAGACCAGTCTGTCCTTGAATGCAAAGAGATCCACCTACCTCAGCCTCCCAAGTGCTAGGATTAAAGGCATGCACCACCACACCCAGCCTCCTGGTATATTCAGTTTATTTGTGTGTGTTTATATTTATTCAGATACAATGTGTGGTAGTTTTTGCCTGCAACCCAGTGTGCAGAGGGCTGAGGCAGAAAAAAAAAAAAATGCTAAAAGTTGGAGGCCAGCCTCGACTGCACACACACCAAAAACAAAACCTCAGAAGTGACCAGTGCACTGTTGTGGGTTATTCACATTTGTCAAGTCTTTGCATGAAGGAACCAGGCAGATAAGTTAGCTGCTTTGTCTACTCTCATGGATCACTGTCATTTTGGTCCTTAGAGTATAAGCACAGGAGCTTGGTGGCACCGGAGGAAATGCTTCAGTTAGTGCCAGTCTTAAAGACCATGTAGCCTCTCCCTGCTCTGAGGGAAACCCTGGCATATGTGTCTTACTCTAGGGACTAGAGTCCAGGCTGTTCTACACGACTTGGCTTCTGGCTTGCCTGTCCTGTGTTAGTAGCCATGGACAGGTCCGTGGAGAAATGAGGTTTACCTTCATGTCAGTGTAGAGGTTTGGTACCAGCCCACCCTTAGTTCCAGCCCCACTGCTCAGGAGTCTTGCTGCCCATGGCGTGATCTTAGATCTCTCAACCTCTGATCTCTGTCAGGATGAAGAGATCATAAGTGATTTTAAGGTCAGGAGTCTAGGCCTAGTGCCAATACAGCCAGTTCTTGTAAAAGAACTCAAATGGTACACATCTGCATTCCCATCACTTGCTTGGCTGAGACAGTATTACTGTGATTCCCAGACCAGTTGGGCTACACTGAGTCTCTCAAAACACTTTAAGGTCAGCTGAGTTTGAGAGAATCACCCGCCTCTGGAGACGACCCTCCCCGTGCAGGTGTGGGTCAGACTGCATGTGACTATGAATGTAGAGCTAAAAGGAAGATGGGGCTGGGATAACCTGCTGAGCCTTGGGATCTCCCTGCTGGGAAGGAGATAAACCCAGGTCATGGCACAGAGTCATAGCTGGGCTTCCTTGTTAATGTCTTCCTGTGCTACTACCAGCTGGGAAAGTAAGGCAGCTATTTCCCGTTGGCCCTGCTTGCAGTTGCAGACCACTAGACCTTTGCCTTGTGAGCCTATAACTATTGAAGGCCCACATTTCATTCAGTTCAGTTTTCAGAGGCAGCCCTTTAGGATATCCAAGGCCTCCAAGCTATGCAACAGATCCAGTCATTGTCAGACACTGGTACCGATACCTCTGGCCAGGCCAGCAGAGTAGTCCTGCAGCCAGCAATGGTGAGCATAATTAGTATGTTTAGTTGGTCACTTTGTGCCCATATCTCCCACTTGACGTAGGCAATGCCTTGTCACCAGGGAGCTTCATCCCCAGTTCACAGAACAGCCAACTATAAACACTCCCACATACTGGAGCCACAAATAGCATGGCCTTTGGCTCTGCTGGCCCTGCTGTCTGGCTGTGTGAGAACTTCAGGCACCTTGCTTCCTAAAGCCTTGGGAGGCCACTTCCCTCCAAGAACTCCAGCTCCATAGTGGACCAGGAAGTCAAAGCTTTGGTCTAAGCTAGATGGCCATAGCCTCTAGATGCCGTCCAGGTGCCCTGCATCTCATCTGCTGTGACGTTCGTAAGGCCTTTCTGGGGGTAGCATTCAGGAAAGCAGGACAGGTGAACCTAAATAAGGCTGTTTTCAAAAGTAAAGCCATTTGGTTTGGTGTGGTAGAGGTGAGTAATCCCAGCATTTTACAGTCTGAAACAGAAGAGTTTGCCTTGAGTTTGAAGCCAGTCTGAGCTAGAGTAAGATCCTGACTCAAAACCCATTGCAGAAAGAACCCTGTGGTGACTGAACTGCTGCTCTGCTCAGAGTTTCGGTTCATTTGTCAAGCCCCTCCCTTGCTGGGACCAGTTTCACTGCTTTAATTCAGCCAAGGCTGGAGCAAAGTGCATGAACATCCTAGGAAGCAAGGAGGGGAGCTCCTGTGGACTTGCATTCCCCCAAAGCAGCCCCCTCACTTAGCCAAAAGAACAGACAGCAGCTTCCTTCTGCTGTGCTGCCATGTAAGAACCCAGAGTTAGGTCCCCCTGAAAAGATGGTTACAACAGGGGTGGGGCTTAGCAGGCCTTAAACTTTAAATAGAAGGCCCAGGGGGCAATCCATGAAGATTGAAGAGCCACGCCCCCCCTTTCATACTGGTTTTTGTCTTGAGACAGTCTCACTGCATAGCGACTGTTGAACTCAGATATCTGCTTTCCTCTGCCTCCGAAGTGCAGAGATTAAAGGTGTGCACCACTGCACCTGCCTTTTCCATGCTGGACTGTAACCCAGGGTCCTACATATACTAAGCAAATGTCTGCCTCTGAGACAGTCATTCCCAAACTCTTACAGGTACTTCTCACAAGTGCATCAGACTGCCACTTTGTTTCACAACAGGAGGCCAGGCAGTGAGTATTCCCCACACTCCACACAGCTCCACCCCCTGCTGGATAGGAACCCCAGGGCTCCAGAAACACATTGAGAGACTGAGGTGAATTGTCAATGACTTTTTAATAGACGTGGGTTGTGTCTGCCAAGCAGACGTCTGAGAGCTATGGCTTCTATAGTCCATCATGGCCAGGCCCTCTTGGACAAAGGTACCAGCTGGCCCCAGGAGAATTGGACCGTGGCCTTGTTTAGACAACTCAGTAGAGGTCAATGAGCCTCTGACCAAGGCCAACATTTTCATTCCAGACAGAAAGTTGTGGGGCTCCCCTAGCCCAGCTTCCAGCAGGGAGAGCTGAATGACTAGTTTGAATCTAATAAAATCATACTAAACTTGAGGGAGGGACAGCGGGTCACAGACCACTTTTGAAAATACAGGAAACCGACAGATGGCCTCAAAATAAATACATATATACCCAGTCTTTGCACACAATTTCAAGCAGTTCATAACCCTTGTTTCCAGGGAGTCCAGCCAGCCCTGCAAGGCTTCTCCATCCTGCCTCCATGTAGTAGCCTCTGGCTTGGCAGGTCTAAGAGCCCTGTCTTAGGGGGCAGGCCTTCCTCTTCAGCCTTGGCAGGCAGAACACTTCTTCCATTTCTGCTTCCTGGATAGACACTATGGGTCTCCCCGGAGTTCACCAGCATTGTGGAGAGCAAGGTGATTCAGTATTCCCCCTGGCTCTGTCAGAGGCACCCACACTCCTCCACAATCATATCCTTGTGGTGTTCCAGGAGCACCCTGCCATTGTCCACATACAGCATGCTCAGTGGCTTGGTCTTCACGGGGGCACAGCATGTGGAAGGGACCCGGTGGGGCTGGTAGCGTTTCAGCAGGCTCTGAAAGGGAGGAAGGAAGGGTTAGTTTGCACCGCTGGGGCAAAGGCAAATTGCTATTTCTGGCTAAAGTGAAAAATTAGCTTCTGGTACAAAAAATAGAACATTATTTTAAAACATAAATAGAATAGTGCATGTGCAACCATCTCATGAACCCCCATACCATGCCTGTGAAATATGCTACTACTCCCCAAAAAGACAGGCTTCAGAAAATAAGCAGCTTAGTGCCACACAAGTAATGAGCAGGAAGGCTCATCTAGGCTCCAAGTCCAATTCTGAATGTCCTTTTTCAGAATATCAGAGCTGCAGGAGCAGAGGTCCTCTGTTCCATTCCCATCACCTAATTATAGGAACAAGGAAAAGCTGGGAATGCAGTTCAGTTGTTTGCCTAGCCTACACCATTGTAATAACGGGTGCGTGCCTGTAATGCCAGCACTAGGGTGTGAAGGCAAGAGGATCAGGAGTTCAAAGTCATCCTGGGCCAAGTAATGAATTTGAAGCCAGCCTGACATGAGAGAGCGCTCTCCCAGGGTAACCCCGTGGAACAGGACACAGTGCTGTGATAATGCGTCACCACATCCTCACAGGACCTAACATGGAGGGTGCTTGAATGACCAAACCTGGTTATCTCATGGCAAACCTTGAGCCCCATCCCCTCTCTAGCAGCACGTTCCATGCCGGGCATCGTACCTGGATATAGGCGTGGTTGGTAGGGTGAAACTCCTCCCCCACAGGGTTAGGACACTCGCCCTCACAGCGATATGCGTTGTACTGCTTGGGGTAGATGATCCAGGAGCCCCAGCCAATCAGGTTGAAGTCCACCTGGAACTTGACCCTCCTACACAGTTGGCTTCTGTCTGGCAAGTGATGTCTCCGGTGCCTTCTGCCCCATCGACCCCTCTCTCCAGACAGCTGTCCCTCCTGGGCCCGCCAGGAGTTCTCAGCTTCCCAGAGCAAAGTGGCGCCACCCAGCTGCCTCTGCTCCTGAGGACGATTGGAGTAGAGCATGAGCACATTGGTGCTGGCGACAGTGACAGGTGGGGTATGGGACTGATGCCTACACTGTGCTGCCAGGCTGGACACCTGCTTCTCCAGGGCCCTGGGATTCTTTAGCCACTTGGACAGTGGCCTGGTCACCTCCAGGACTGTGCTGCCTGAGGAAAAAGTGACCTGGGACGGAGTGATAGTGAACCTTTCCATCGGAACACGCTCCAGGCAGTCAGTCGGGTCCTGTTCTGTGTCCAGTTTTGCCTGGTGGAAAATTTCAATAGTGAGTGGACCCTCAGTGGGGAGGATCACAGGGCTGGACAGCTGCAGCCGGAGCTCTGCCCATGTCAGATCCTCTTCTTGGCTCAGAAAGGAGAAGTCAAAAGCGAAGGTCCAATTCTGCCCAGTCACTTCCACATCTGGGGGAGAAACCAAGGAAGGAATCAGGGTGAGAGGGCAGTTAACAGAAGTTAACCACCAGCTGGGTAGGCCACCTGCCAGCCATCTTTCTCACCCTCACCCACCCCTATTGAGTCTATTTTATTTATTTTGGCTTTTTGAGATGGGGTTTCATACTAACTCAGGAAGAATTGGAACCTGCTGCTTACCCTTGACTGTCTGAAACTCTTCTGTCTCAGCCTCTCAAATTCTAGGATTACAAGTTAAGCTAATGTGTGTATGTATACACATATATATTCAGATATAGTCCATTTTAGAGATGAAGGAATATGGAGGCCTCGGAGGTACACGGGCTTACATAAGACTCTTATCTTGAAAAGTAACCAAAGGCTGGAATATAGCTCAGTTGGTAGAGCGCTTGCCTAGAAAGTACAAGGACCTGGATTTGATCCCCAGCACTGCACAAACCATGGACATGGACCAAGCCTGCAATTCTGCCCTCTGGAGGCAGAATTGGTAGAATGAGAGGATCAAAAATTCAAGGTCATCCCTAACTTCATTGAGAGTTCATGGACAACCTGGGTTAGAAATTGTGTGAATGGGAGATGGCCAGGGAAAAGGAGGAGGAGGAAAGAAGGAACTAGGAGTAAGCTTGAAATTGCCTGACTGCTCGGGGAGGCAGAGGCAGGTGGATCTCTGTGAGTTCTAGGCCACCCTGGTCTACAAAGCTGGACAGCCAAGACCAGGACAGCCAAGGCCACACAAGAGAAACCCTGTCTCAAAAAAACAAACAAACAAAAAGTCAAAGGCTAAGGCTTCTGTTTGCCCTGTTGAGCTTTGAGCAATCCACCGCCTCAGGCTTGTGCTTTTCCTCAGTGAACAGGGCAGCTTGCTTCAGACACGCTGGGTGGATAGAAATATGACAGCTAACCCAGAACTCTCAGGGGAGAACATGTACAAGGTCTTGTTCTCGTGATGGCCACCCTCTTCCCATTTGCTTCTACAGCCTCAGAAGCTCATCTTCACCAACCTTACAGGCCCTCGGGTTCCCTACCCAGGCTTTCCTGTCTGCCTGCAGGGTACTCTTCACACAGTGAGGCAGACACACAGCCTGGGGCACCAACTCAAGACAGAGCAGCCTTACTTGTGAGATACACGGGGACAGTATAACCCATTACTTCAGTCTAGATGATTTTTTTTCTCATGTATGGAACTACTGTGCATTAAAGGATTTTTTTAGTGATTGAGTGGGCGTGGTCACTCATGTTTGCAATTCCAACACTGGCTATGGGTTTTTGGCCAGCCCATATGAGACACTATGTCTACAGATAAGACACTATGCTGCTACAGCCACGTGTGATGGCATGCCTTTACTCCCAACACTTGGGACACGTGAAACAGGAGGGTCAGGAATTTAAGGCCAGCTTTGGGGACATAGCGAATATAAGACCAAGAGTGAGCTATATTAGACCCTGTCTCAAAACACAAGACAACAAAATAATGCATGTAAGGACTTAGGAGAATCAAGATGTTTAATTTTTTTACATTTTATATGCTGTTTTTGTTTTGGAGTGTATTTCATTAGAGATTAAAAACAAAACACCGAAGTAAGGACTCTGTGCTGAGAGTATTGAGTACTCCTGTGACACCAGAGATCTGGGGTGCTCCAGCATAATTCCTCATTCTTTGTTTGTTTGTATTTATTTATTTATAATGTACGAGTGCTCTGTTTTCATGCACACCAGAAGGGAGCATCAGATTACTTTATAGATGGTTGTGAGTCACCATGCAATTGCTGGGAATTGAATTCAGGACCTCTGGAAGAACAGCCAGTGCTCTTAACTGCAGAGTTGAGTTGCCCAGCTTCAGTCTCTGGCTGCTTTCCCACCACCCACCTGTCTCTAGCTGTCTTTTCATTTAAATTCCATTTCCCTCTTCAGGAGACAATAACCAGCCCTTTCCAAGACTGTCCAAATACCACTGACCCTGGGAGCTAGGTGGGGCACTCTAGTCTCTTCTGCCTGCTGTACAGGCAGTCTGTGTGCTGCAAATGGTCTCTCCTGCTTTGGCCTGAGTCAAAAACTCCCACGACCTGAGGACCCCTGTTGGGGTTCTAGTTTGACGTTGGTCAGGTGGTGGTTTTCCTTCTCTGGGCTTCAGGTGTGTTCTCAGTAGAAGGGATGTTGTGCGCTACAATTTACTAAGATACTCAAAGAGATGCTCTGCCCAGCACAACCAAAGTAGTCAAAGGTTGGCTGTGCAAGTTTCTCCTCGCCTGTGTGGAGAACTAAGAAACGAAACGTGGTAGCCAGGTAGCCATGTACAAGGCCCCGGACTGAGACACGCTCACCACTGACTGTGATGGCAGCCAGTGTGCAGGCTGGACAGGAAGAAACTGCTTCCTCTCAGGCCACCCTCTATTTTGGATAGAGGGTCCTTCAGGTATTAGCTCTAGCTCATTGAACAACTAGATACTTGGAGTGAGATGGTATACATGAGGAAGGGGTTCACAGACACCCTGCTACCCTGAGTGGGGATTTGGCAAGCATCATTGGCACATTTAGCCACCTCCTATTCTAAAGAGTCGAAACTCAGGCCGTTTGCCTGCCCCTACCCTCAGCCCAGCAGGCAAGAGGCTATCCTAAGGTCCTTGCCATTCTTTGCTTCCCATATTCCAAGGCTTTACAGGAACTGCTTCCACACCTCCCGCCCTCTGGTACTGCCATGTGCAGATGGGTAAGCTGAACAAGCCGGGAACAGATGCTTAGATTCCAGCTGACAGACCCCACTACCACCATGCTAGGGCCATTTTACAGACTGACTCGAGGGAAGGCTTGGGATATATGCCGCTCTCCCATAGACTCCCTCCAAGTAGAGCCTTTTTGCTGAAATGGAGGCCGCTGACTGGCAGATAATTAAAACACTAAAGTTGGTTGTGTACATTTAAACAAACCAACCGGGAGGCAGACAGCAGTCCCCTAATTTACAAAAGCAAACAAAAAGTGAGGTGTTGTTGCCAGTGGACTCAGGCGACTGCAAAACAGTTTGACGGATCTCAACAGTTTTCCTGCATCCCAGATTGTCCCATCACTACGTAAACTTTGCAGAACTTTTTAGAAGGGAACTGAACTTGAAAGGTGTGTTTTTTCCAGCCTAGCCTCCACCTCACCCTTAAGCGGAGGGGCCGAGTGCTTAATTTCCCATTGCATTGCCCTGCAGGGTGTCCTGGTCTGTGGTCCCCAGATGACCCTTTAGGAGAGGGTCACCGGCAGTCACCCCAGACGCCGCAGGCAGGGTCTAGGGGCTCCGCCTCCAGGTCGCGAGGGCCGGCGGGCGGCAGGTCAGACCGGATTAGAAGATGTGGATTGCGCCCGGGTCCCGCGGAGGGCCGTCTGGCCCGGGAGGACAGCGGCGCGGGCTAGCCAAACTGCCCAAGGGGAAGGATGTGGATTACGCCCGGGTTCCCGAGTCCGGACTCCCTCTCCTGGGCAACCACCTGTCGGCCTGCTCTGGCGAGCGTCACTCAGGTCACTGGGCCAACTACACACTTGCACACCTCGATCTAAGTAGGTTCCGAGGCCGGGGTCCCTCAGGACATCTGTCGCCGCCCAACCATGAGAGCTGCCTGAGTTCTGGACTTGGACACCTGATCTCTAATTTCGGATCCTTGAGCCCCGGTTCCTGGTGTCATTTGCTGCGGCCCGGACAAAACTCAGCAACGACTTGTTTTAGTGTACTCCCGGTTTTGTGCGGAGCATTGCTGGGGGAGGTGGGGCGTTGTCATCTAGTCCCCTCCGTAAGTCTATGAAGGGGATCCTACGAGTTCTACACTACAGATGGGCAAACTGAGGCTCCCTCCTCTTTTACCCTCTGCCTTCTGTCCAAACTAGTACCGGACCCGAAATGTGGTGGCCTCTAGACCCTGGGTTCCTCTCGCACTCGGCCACCAGCGTTGTGCCCTGAACCTGCCCATTCGGGAACATCGTTAAGACCAGACTCTGGACGACCCTTGGTGCCCAGTCCCCGCCGCAACCACCACCCGCCTCCTGATCGTGCGCCCTTGGGTGCTGGCGAGGCCAGGCTTGTAGCCTACCTTGCGCCTGGAGGCTGCGGATGATGTCCGCCCGAGGCAGCGGGTCTCGGTAGAGGCTCAGCATGTACGCCAGAGGGGACGGTGAGGAGGGTTGGCCCCGCGTCCACAGAGGCAAGGCGGCCACGGTAGCGGCGCGCGGCTGGAGTAGCGCCCAGCAGGCTTGGAGAAGAAGGATGGGGACGCAGGAGGCACTCATGGTGGACTGGTTGAACCCGCAAACAGCGCCTGGGTCCCTTATATCTGAGACGCCGCCCCGCCCCGCCCCTCCCTTCCTCACTCCCTCCCGAGAGGCCTTAAGACCCTATACCCTCCCCTGCTGGGGCAGGGCAGGGAGCCCCTGCTGGGAAAGGTGTGATGTGATGAGTTAGACGACTGATAAATTGGGGCGCGGGGAGGCGGGGACAACTCGGATAGAGACTGAGTCTAGGCTGCTCCATCCCTTGCCCCTCTACCTCGGAAGTCTTACTGCCGAGACAGAGCCGGCTACTACCTGCTCGGAATTGTGCTTCCCTGAGCTGGAGGTGTGTTGGAGGCCTGGCCGGCTTCAACCCCAGAACCATAACAATGGCTTCCTTCTCAGCCTCTTCTGGACCCCCGGCGGGTTTCTCTTCCCAGTTCATCCAAAAGCAGGTTGGGAGTGCTGGGGTTAGGGCGCAGTCCTCTGTCTGGGTAGCACCAGGCCAGCCTGGGGTACAGCCTTCATTGGCAAGGCCTCTAGGTAACTAGTGGTCATTAGGAATTTGCAAGAACAAAGGTGAGCTCAAGGGGAGGACTCTTGGTGACAAATGCCAGCTTCAAATACCGAAGTGCTCCCCTGTGGAGCAAAGGAATACTCCAAGGAAGCTGAAGGCCCAGCTATAGCTAACCTAGGTGGTTTGGGTGGTCTGCTTGCTGTGGGAGCTTTTGAGGGTTGGGTGGGAGGTGGCTGGGGTTTGCTGGCTGCATCTCCTGCCAGCTGTGGCAGCGCCCTGGCAGATCATAATCACTCTCAAGACCACTGCTCCATCTCCCGGAAGCCTGCTCACCTTGTCTGCACAAGATGGAATTAAACGTCTTTCATTTCTTCAAAGTAACTAACTTCCATCATATTTCTTGTTCGTGCAGGAACTCAATATAAAAAAAATATATACCATATGTGTAAGGTTTATTATGTTAAGGGGTGAACATTTCTCATGACTGAGTTTTGTAGGAATGGAGCTATTAAGAAGAGAATCTGGGAGACGGAAAGATCCTAGGCTTTGTGTTTTCAAAAGGAAAGGCGGAATTGGAATTACCTTTAAAGAAATGTAAATTCCTGTCCTGAAATCCTCCCCCATGTTTTCCTGGCCTACTACTGGCTTTCTCCTTAGCTACTCCCCACCCCCATCCTGTCCTTTTTCAATCCTTCAACTAGCACATTAGCAGCTGGCTAACATTTACTGTGCACCTACTACGTGCCGGGTCCTTTACACACTTGGGCTCTCTCACAGGCTAGAATGTGAGCAGGTGTTCGGAGGGGCCAGAGACACCCTGGGGCCTGCAGACCTGCACGATCTGTTCTAACCAGCTGGAAAAAGGCTGGGGTGGCAGGCCCCTTACAGGTCCTCATGACCTGCACACCCTCCCTCCCGATATCATGGTCTGGTCCCATTTTTAACCCCCAAACAGGATCTCACGTAGCCCAGACTAGCCTTGAACTCATTTTGTAGCTGAGGATGACCTTAAAATTTGATCCTCTTGCTTCCACCCCCTAAGTACTCAGATTACACTACATGTGCCCTGGTTTATGTGGTATTGGGGTTTGAACCTATGGCCTCATGCATGCTTGGTAAACGCGATACAAACTAAGCTCCAGCTCCAGGCCAACAATACAGAGCACCATGTCTAAGCTTGCCTGAGGATGCCCATCTCCTGGGCTGTTTGTTACGCCATGGATGACACAGTACCCTCCAGACTCAGAATTAGAATTTAGAGAGAGAGCATGGTGATCTGCATATTCAGCAAGGCAAGCACCCCAGGGATTCTTATCTGAAGACTTTGGAAATCTGGGTGGGCCAGGTTACAAAGTAGGATGTGTCCCCAGTAAAACAGCTGGAGAGATCTCCTCCTAAGCACTTAAAACTAAAGTGCTTGCAAGGCTCTGAACCCTGTTGAAAGGAGAACACATCTGGATGGTTATCGGTGTGGGGAATTAGGAGATCCTGCTCTCTGCAGCAGAGCCCTCCCCACAGGCTGACAGCACCTGGATCCGAGCGGGTAGAAATCAAAGAGTGACAGATTGCTAAACACAGAAGAACAGTTTGTGGTTCTAATCCCAGCTGCTCGGAGAGGCAGAGACAGGATGATTCTGTGAGTTCAAGGCCAGCCCAATCCACAAGGTTAGTTCCAGTGTGAGTTCCAGGTGGTGTGCCAGGCCAGCAGGGCTGCCGGTGAGCTCCTGACTAACAAAACTGTGAACACCCAAGTATGGCAGTGCCGAGGATGCTGGAGAGATGGGAACTGTAGGATCGGGGTTGCTGGTCTCTGGACTCCTGGGATCCAGGTGGCGAAGGGCAGCCTTACCCACCAAGATCTGAGAAGGAATGAAAAAGATGATATGTCTATCTTCACTGCCAGGCTAGAAGCTTCTCGAAATTAATCGTTAAGCTTTTGGCTTCCTGTGTCTCTTGCACTGTGTGGCACATAGGAAGAGTAAGAACTGAGTTGACGTTAATGATAATAACAATGGGTAATTACTGACAGACATGCATTGTCCATTCTGCTAAAAGCTTCCATTGATGTCATCTTCTGCCTCCTGTCCAAGACATGAAGATGAAGCAAAGTGAGAAGAAGGTGACATGCTAGGGGCCCAGGACACACAAGGGACCGCCAGCATGAGGGAGAGGCAGGTTTACCTGTCACCCACACCCCATGTTTTAAATCTTGGTGCTTCCCCACAAAAGAGAGCTGAGAAAAGGAGAAGAAAGCTGGTGAGATGGCTCAGTGGACAAAAGCACTTGCCACCAAACCTGTTGACCTGAGTTCCATCCCTGGGACTATTGAGTGAAGGGAGATTGACCCCTGCAGGTCGTGTTGTTCTCTGATATGGCGCAATACACACACATGTACAAACAAATGTCTTAAAATTTTTGGCCTGGAGAGATGGCTCAGAGTTGTTAAGAGCACTGGTTGTTCTTCTAAACATCCTGAGTTCCATTCCCAGCAACCACATGGTGGCTCACAACCATCTATAATGAGATCTGGTATCCTCTTCTGGACTGCTGGCCTGCAGGCAGGTAGACTACTGTACAAATAATAAATAAATCTTAAAAAAAACTTTTAATAAATATTTTCTCTCTCTTTCTCTCTCTCTCCCTTCTTCCCTTCCTCTTTCTCTTGCCCTTTCAAAACAGAGTTTCACTGTATAGTCCTGGCTGTCCTGGAACTCACTATGTAGACCAGGCTGGCCTTGAACTCAAAGAGATCCTGCCTCTTGCGCCGCCATACCCAGCATTAGATAAAACGATAAAACGGGGGGGGGGGGTGTAGAGAAAATGTGGGCAATACTTAGAATTCTAGGAGATGGAGGCAGGAAAATCAGCAGTTTGAGGCCAGCCTCAACTACATAGTAACTAAACTAAATGAAATAAATGAGACCCTGTGACCAAAAAGAAAAAAAATAACGGAAAACATATGCAAACATGTCTTGTAGTAAGAGTTTGTTAGCTGCCCTGTCTTGCCCTCCTGTGACTGGGGTTGCAGACAGAGCTCCTTTCTTGTGTGTATTGGCCTCCAGCTGCATGGGGATCTGGGGTTTCTCCCTGGACTGTCTGACAAAGCTTGTCCATCTCCAGCATTCTGTCACTCCACGGGAAGAGGACCCAAGTCTCTGCAGTGTCTTCAGGGTGCAGCCCACCATTAAGTCATCCTTTGTTAATTAAGGACATCAGTTAGTCCAGGACTGTTTCCTGAAAGACCAGAAGTGCTCTTTTCTGAGGCAGAGGGTGACACTTTCTCACTTCCCCAGACAGACTGACCTGAAAGATAACCTCTGAGGCCAGCCCAGCTGCTGGGGGGTGGGGGCAAAGTCTCCTGAGGTTGAAAGGCTTCCAGCAGGCTGGTCTTGCTCTCCTGACCAAGCACCAGTGTAGGGCCGGCTGAGTGTGCTAGGCCACTGAAGTCAGGCTTTAGAAGGCAATTCTGGATCCTTCTCTCTCCACCTCAGTGTTTTGCATCAGTTGTTTAGTATCTTAAAACAAAACAGAATACTGATTTATTTATTCCAGTGTGTGCACAGAACATACCTGTGCCATGGCATGTACATGGAGACCAAAAGAAAGCTTGGAGCTATCTTTTCTCTCTCTCTCTCTTTTTCATGGAGGTTCAGGTCTTCAGGCTCAGCAGCAAGTTCCTTTACCTGTTGAGCCATCTCACCAGATCCATCTATATGCTTCTGCTTGCCTGACTATAAAATGAAGGTAAATAATAACCTAGATAGCATGGGTGCCATATATAATAAATGCAAAAAAACATGATGTATGTGACATTTGGCAATTCATTGAATAAGTCTGGTCATGCTGTGAGTTCACAGCCTGTTAAGCTCAGACGTGATTCTTTTTTTTTTTTTTTTTTATGTACATCGGTGTTTGACTGTGTGTATGTCTGTATGAGGAGTTATTACAGACAGTTGTGAGCTGCCATGTGGGTGCTGGGAATTGAACTCGGGTCCTCTGAAAGAGCAGTCACTGCTCTTAACCTCTGAGCCATCTCTCCAGCCCTCAGACGTGAAAGACTCGTTTAGTATGTGTCATTACTTGAGTGTTTTGTTTGTTTGTTTGTTTTGTTTTTTGAGACAGGGTTTCTCTGTGTAGCCTCGGCTATCTTGGAACTAGCTCTATAGACCAGGCTGGCCTCAAACTCACAGAGATCCACCTGCCTCTGCCTCCTGAATGCTGAGATTACAGGTGTGCACCACTGTGCCTGGCTTGTTTGTTTCTTCGGTTTTAAGATTTATTTTTATTTTATGAATATAGGTGTTTTACCTGATTGTATATCTGTGTATCCCATGTGTGCCTGGGGTCTTCGAAGACCAGAAAGGAGGGGGGATCAGATCCCTTAGAACTGGAGTTATTGACAGTTGTAAACTGCCAAAAGGATGCTGGAGATTGAATCCAAGACCCTGGAAGAGCATCCAGTGTTCTTAACCTTTTTTTTTTTTTCTTGAGACAAGCTCTCCTC